AGTACGGGGGGGGGGGGCACTCTCCTCCCTCTTTTGCAACTTCTGTCGGAGGAGAAAGGACATTAAAGAGGGCCACAAGAGCCTTGGCCAGTGTTTCTCAGTGGTTAGAGCAGTGGTCCACGCACCAAAAGGTCACGGGTTCCATTCCCAGTCAAGGGCATGTACCTGGGTTGCAGGTTGAATCCCTGGCCCTGGTCGGGGCATATGCAAGAGGCAACCGATCAATGTGTCTCTCTCACATCAATGTTTCTCTCTCTCTCTCTAAAAATTAATAATAATCAACAGAAAAAATATCCTTGTGTGAGAATGAACAAAAAATAAAATAAAAAAGGGGNATAATAATCAACGGAAAAAATATCCTTGTGTGAGAATGAACAAAAAATAAAATAAAAAAGGGGCCACAAGAGCTGTCTTCACAAAACTGAGGGACTATGTGGGCACTGGAGCTCCCTTCTCTGTGACATTGAAACTTGGGAACAGGAAGGTAGGTTTTATTCCAAGTGAAGCTAATCTTAAGGAAAGTGGGCTTCCCGGGGAAGAGGTCAGATCCTCATCCTCCACTCATTCACTTATCAATTTATTAATGAATCAATTATTAATTCAACATGAATTTATTAAACAAAGACACTGTGCTAGGGGCTGGGGATATAACAGTGAACTAGACACACGCGACTTCCTGGCAATCAGGGACTTTACAATATAGGGAGGGAAGTAAAGAAAGATAAAGATAAATAAATAAAGTCATTACAAATTATGTGAAGGAAATAATCAAAAACTGGAGATAGAAATTTCAGGAGGTAGAGGAAGCAGCTTGCTTCAGACATGGTGGTTAGAGAAGGCCTCTTGAGGAGGCGACATACGAAGAAGTTGAAGAAGCCAGAAAGGCAGATAATGAAAAGAAGCCAATATGGGTAACAGGGATGTATAGGAGTATGGCATATGCAAAGGTCCTGGGGCCATAAACAACTTGGCATGTTCAAAAAACTGATGGATTAGCCTAACTGAAGATAGCAATGGAAGGAATAGTGACCTGAGATAAGGAATTTGCATTTCCTCCTCAGTGCGAATGGAAGCATTGGAGGAGTCAAGGCATTGGAATGATACAGTTAAATTTCTGTTTATGAAGATAGTCCTGGCTGACTTATGGAGAATGGATTGAACAGATAGATGGAGGGGTGGGTGGAGGCATCAGCAAACCAGGATGCTAATTTACAGACTGGTGAGCCACGGCAGTTGCCCTGCATGCAGTGGTGGGTGGCAGGAATATTGGAGAGAGATGGGTGGAGTTGAGGTGTAGTTTGAAGGTAAAGCTCTTTGGAGAAAAACTTGATGGGTTGAATGTAGGGCTTTAGGGAAAAGAGCAAGCAAAGATGAGTCTTAGGTGTCTGTCTTGAGGAACTAGGTGTGGGAGTGGGCATGTTGGGCAATGATCGAGAGTACTACTTAGGGCATATTCAACATGTATGCTCTGAGCACTCTGAGACAACACACGTTGGTGTTCCAGTTGGTTGTCGCCATCCATCTAGATANACTCTGAGACAACACACATTGGTGTTCCAGTTGGTTGTCGCCATCCATCTAGATAGTGTTCCATTCATNGCTCTGAGCACTCTGAGACAACACACGTTGGTGTTCCAGTTGGTTGTCGCCATCCATCTAGATAGTGTTCCATTCATGAGAACAAGTAATGTCATCCAGGGAGACAGCACAGAGGAGGAGAGAACTCAGAGATGAGGCCTGAGGAACTTCAACTTTTGACGTCACAGGAGTAGGAGCCAGAGAAGAAAAGCCTCTGGGGTTGGGGAAAATTAGGGGTGACCAGCCACAGAACCCCTAGATATGAGTGTAAGAATGAGGCAGAGCGGCAGGCTGTGTCCAACACCGATTAAGATAAGGACAGCACAGCATCCATTGGATTTGGCAACAGACATCACTTGGTGATGCTCCAAAGAGAGGTTTAGGTGGAGAAGCTAGAAGCTAAGACTGGAATGTGCTGAGCTTACTAGTAACCAGGGCGTACAAATTAAAATAACGACAAGATATCATTCTTTGTACACTGGATGAACAAGTGTTTTTAATTTAAAAGTAAGTTTTGGTCAGGGAAGGATAAACGTATTCCTGGGAGTATAAATTGGAAAAGCCACATCGAAGGGTAGATTGTCAGTATCTGTTGAAAATAAAAAATTTAAAGTACTTTTTGAGAAACTGTTACTTAAGAGGCAATAGTTGGCAACTAAGGGAGTAAATAGACATAAGAGACACAATCTCTGTTCTCTATGTACCTAGAGTTTGGTTGAGAAGAGAGCAAAGGGGTCAAGGAGAAAAGTCTCTAGCACAAAGCGTAGCAAGAGAAATGTCACATGAGAAGGCAAAATGCTATGGGCCTCAAAGGAGATCAGAGGCTCTATGAGATGAGGAGAGGCCTCTAAACACTTCAGACAGATGCAGGATATTAGAGACCTGGGCAGGCGAGGCACACAGGGATGAGAGGGTTTGAGATGTGTGCATGAGAGGGGGTGTGGAGGAAAGATAGCCAATGTACTAGGAGTGGCTGGTAGAGAAAAGAAGCTCACTTGAATCTGCCTCAGCCTCGGTTTACACCAGAAAGCAGAGCCTGAGCCAAGGGCTTGCGTGCAGAAGGATGAGAAGAGACCCCAAGGAGCAGGAGTGGGGGCTGGGGAAACTGAAGGAGGAACACGAGGGGGCCAACGCAAAGATGTGTTCTTGGGCTCAGCCCTGCCATGGGGGACTGTGACTCAGTCCTGCTGGGATCCCCCGAGGACCACGTAGATAGAATGCATCACAGAATTGTCCACCCGAGCGATGGAACCAGTAGCATTTCCCCACGCACTCCCATCCCCCACTGGTGAAGGTTTCCCCTGGAGCAGCTCCCTCTTACTTCCAGGTTTGCGCATGGGTGAGTGCCAAGCAGGTCCCTGCAAGTGTCCTTCCCCACGTGTCCCAGAACAGGGAGAGAGGGATGGTTGGTGCGGTTACAACTTCTCAAAGCACAGCAATGACTGAGGAAAAGGCAGGCTAGAAGGGTGTAAGGTGAAGTTCAAGGGTTGTCCCCAACAATCCTGGGTGCTGAAGCCACAGGAAGTAATGCCAGAAGGATAGGTCAGGACGGATTATGCCTGGCTGAGAAGTTCTAACTTAGCAATCGTTACGCATTGCAAAACCTGACGATCCTGCTTGTCACGTGCAAAGAAGGGCCTTTGTCACGTGAGGGAAGAGCCAGTCATACATTCATGTCCAGGATATTACAGTAAATTGCAGTGTATAGGTGATTGATTGGTAAAGTGAATATGTAGATTTTATTACAGGCTTCAGCTGAAGTCACCCTCACAAAATGGACAATGGGCTTAAGAGCATCCCAATAAAGAAACTGTGGACTGAAGGTTCTACTAAAATTCAAAAAAATGTGAGTAACAGCAAGAAAATCTCACAGCCAGCCCTTCTACTTCCAACCACTTTAGAAAGCAAAAACAAGGACACTACAATGAGTTTCAAGAAGTTGCCTGAAAAAAATTTCAAACCGACAGAAGTGACTCTTTGAAACATGGATTCATACGCATGCATATTGTTAAATAGTGTTAACCAATGTATATACTCCCCATCAGATTAACTAATGATACTAAGAATTCATAATTATCGATGGGTAAAAATTTTATTTCACATTTATCTTATCCTTTAGATTTATCTTTGGGAGTACCTATTACAACATTTATCATGCACATGCATAAAATTAATAAATAATATTTTTTTTGAAAGGGACAAGATCAGGAAAGAATAAAAGTGGCTCTCTGGTTCCCCACTGGGATGGCGTTCCAGTGGGAGGCACGGTGTGCCCCTGCACGTCTAGACGAGGTGGTTTAGGGTGCTGAGCATGAGGTGGGCTTTGGATGGGCACCGGCGCTCGGTGGTCTCCCACGATGACCTAGAGGTCCTCTGGCTGCTTGATCTCCCGTCTCGAAATCAGCCTCCCCACCCCAGGCGGCATATGCTGCTCAGGATCGAAATAGAAGTTAGTGTTGTAAGTTTTGCCCCTCTCATTGGTGAGGGTGACGGGCTGTCCCTCTTCGGAGGCAGTGGCTATGAACCAGCCGGGGTAGGTGAAGGACTGGAAGCTGGACGTGGAGCCCTCTATGTTGCGCAGGAAGAGGAAGGGCTCCTGTGCTTTGTCCGACTTGTACAGGTCCATTACATTTGTCTCCTAGGGGTGGGAAAAAGAGGATTACTTGGGAGGAGGGAGCTAAACCTACTCAGCCTCGGGAGTGACTGCTTTCCCCAAGGGGAGGGACACAGGCCAACCAGAGGATGCCAGGTGTCAGAGGAGGCGATGCTCTGGTTCCCAACAGCTCTGCTCCCTCTGGGGTCCCACAACACCAAGTGCTTCTAATCCTTCGTAACAACACCATCTTCCCCCAGAACAGAGTGGGGTTCATTGTCTCATAGGTGCTCCTGCTACGCACCTATCTACAGGTTCAGGCCAGTCTCCCAAGATTCCCAGTCTCCAGTGGGTTTCTACATTGCAGCGTCCATCACAGAAGGAAGAGCTTCATGACCACAAACACTTTTCAGTACAGGAACCACAGACATGAAGTCCTCAGAATCCAGACTGACAATCTCCCCTTTTCTCCTCTGTATGCGGTGACCTTTGCTTACATGGGAGCACCCCAACATCTCAGAGGATTTCTGAGAGGCAGTTAAAGAGGTTGAGGAATGGCCCAGCCAGTGTGGCTCAGTTGACTGACCCATGCCCCAGGAGGTTACCAGTTCTATTCCCGGTAAGAGCACATGCCTGTTGCAGGAGGCAGCCAATTGATGTTGATGTTTCTATCTCTCTCCCTCTCCCTTCCTCTCTCTCTTAAAAAAAAAAAAAAATCAATAAAAACATATTTTTAAAGAAGACAAGGAACGGCAAAGCCGCCAGTCTCGGCCTTCCTGAAACATCCTTGTGCGTGCCCTTTCTGGTGTTCAGAGGATGCTCAGACATTAAAATAAATGTTACACCCATTCCAAAGGCAGCATGTATTGATTTGGAGACCAGCCAGGTCAGGTTTCCTTACGCTGAATAACCCAGGATTGAAAAAAAATGGTATTTTTATTCAGTAACATATCAAATGAAACAAAAAGTCACAGTACTTCTCTCATTTTCTGTACAACCACTCACCTTAAGCTGCAGAGTAGGCTTGCCCCCAGCTTCTGCACAGAACAGACAGAGATCTTTGCCCTTGATTCCCATGTATATTGGAATGCCTTTTTTTTCATCATGGACTTTTGGGTCCGTGCATGGTACTGAGCAAATAGTGACTGGAAATAGGCAAATGGAAAGAAGGGTCAGGCTCCAGGCGGCAGAAAGGCTGGTCCTGCCTATTACTCGGTTACTCCTCCCAGCCAGGCCTGCCCCAGAAGGTTCCTCTAATGAGCCAGGTGGTAGAAATTCTCCATCATAATTTGAAACCCATTTCCTTTTTTCTTCCTTACTATCAGAACCCAGTTTCCCCAAAATAAAAACAAAATTCCCCACCACACTTCCAGCTAACTTTGACCATATGCTTAAGTTGTAGCCTGTGAGCTATAAGTGGAATTGTTGTGTGGGGTTTCCAGGAATATCGTTTAAGGGGAGCAGACTCAGCTGGGAGGAGTTCCTTCTTTATACCCTGTGTCTTCCTACACCTAGGTGAGGGTTGAGGTGACCTTGAGGTTGATAAGGCACCATGGACTCCCCACACTGGACTCAGCCTGCCTGCTCAGCCTTCTTTCACATGAGAAAGAAATAAATTTGATCTTATGTAAGTCCCACTCACATGGGGTTTCTGTCACTATCAGCTGAATTTAATTCCTAACGAATTGAGCCCAGGAACTGGTAGGGGGTTCCTTCTGGACAAGGGGCAGGGAATTCATCCACTCAACAGTTTCTCAAATGGCCACTCAGGACAAGGCAGACTTTGTCATTGCCCCATGAAAAAACGAGATGAAAAGACGTAAGCAGAGAAATGGCCAGAACCACCATAAATTGCAATACCTGCTTTAGGGGAAGTGACCAAAGCCTGGGACAGTAGGAGAGCGAGCAACTTTAGATAGAAAGATCAATAAAGACCTCTCTGCAGAGGTGAAGTCAATCCAGGACCTCGAAGCTAAGAGGAAGCTAGTAAATGAGGCAATGGGGATAGGATGGTGGAGGGGGTTGGGAGGAAGAGTGTTGCAGGAAAAGGAATAGTTGAGGCCACGGGTGGAAAGGGACTTGTTACGTTCAAGGCTTCAGAGACTGGTGGACCTGAGCTCTCCCTGCTCCCATCTACCCCCCACCTCCCACTCCCAAATCACAAACACAAAAGGAAATGATTCTCTTCAATTAGCCTAGTACGAAGGTCACTTGTGAGGATGTTTAGTGGAAGACAAATGGGAGGCTGCACAAAGGAAGGGGGCGGGAGGGCAGTGAGGAAGAAGTGGCTGTGGTCCAGGTGAGAGATGGTAACCGCCTTAGAAATAAGGCCTACGCGCACCTAGACTCCTCAGTCTTTGCTGATGGATTGGCTGGAGGTTGAAGAAAAGGAGGAATCGAGGATTCTCCTCTAGCACGTCTGGCTCGAGCAAACAGGGTCATGTCAGTGTCGCTAATGGAGATGGGGAAGAGTGAGCTTGTCAGCAGCTCTGAGAAGTCAGGTCCATGTTGCGCCTGGGACAGATGAAGTTAGAGGTGTCCGAGAGGACACCAAAGGGACCTGGGTAAAATATTCATCCGCTTGGAAGCCTAGATGCCGGAGCGATGGGTCAGGGGTTAGAGAGTGCCTGCATACTGAGCTCCGAGCATTCCCAGCACTGGGGGATTTTACAGAGAAAGTGGAGTCAGAAAGGACATGGAAGCGGGGCCAGTGGGCCACAGGAGGATGTCCTTGCAGAAAGAGAAGTTGGAAAGTGTTCAAGAAAGGACGAGTTATCAAAATGCTGACTGTGGCTACAAGACGAGGGTGGGCACAGAGAAGCGTGCTGGGTGACCTTGGAGAGAGGCGCGCGAGGGGCCTGGTCAAAGACCAGTTTAGACGTCAGACTGTTTGATGTAGCCCGAGCGGGAGGGGAACCGGAGCCGGCGGTGTAGTCAGCTCTTCGGCGGAATTTGGCTGTGGTTGGCACGTAGAAGGGTACGTTCAGAGCAATAGTAGGGATGAAATGTAGGCATCGAGAGAAGCTTTTTAGTATTAAGCTTGGAAATACTATATCAGAGCACGTTTGCCAGTGACAGGAAAGACCCAGTAGACAGACAAAGGTGGGATATTCAGGGGACAGAGAGATGGGATCAAACACTGAATCCTAGGGAAAGGGAAAGAGCTGAGTTATACTGACTTTCCCTCCAGCTTCACTGAGGCATGATTGACATGGGATGGATTGACTTTTGAGAGAGGGAAGAAATAGTCTCCTATTATGAGAAGAGAGGACGCCAAGTGAGAAAAGTGTGCAAGTTTGGTGGTGGAAGGTGAAGGAGTTTAATCTGAGGGCATGGGAAGCACTGGATGAAATTTAAAGGAGAGAAACTGCGAGGAGAAGGTCTGCTGCTGACTTGAATGGACAACCCCTTTTATCCATGACATTTTCTTTGGGTAAGGACAGCTATCCATTCCTCACACATCGTTTCTAGGTACCGGTTTCCTTTGCCCTTTCTTGCCCTTCCCACAGACACTGAGCTGGTGCCCCAAAGATGGAGAGGCCACCGCCAGGCTCATAGGAGCTCAACCCCACCCCCGGTGGAGCTGGTGTCTCTCTAAGAGGTAACAGTGGCTTCAATTGTGACTCACCAGGTGTGACACTGTTGGTGGAATAAACTGCGATTAAAGAAAGGTTTTCGTTCAGGGACCACACCATCTGTTGAGAATCACGAATACTATGGCATACTGGCTCTTGCACCTCTGCCAGATGACAGAAAAAAAAAGCACAACACTCACACGATGTTACTATAAACTTCAGGACCTCGGCCGCATCCTGTAATACTGCTCCCCTGCCCCCCCCCCCACTGTCTCACTTCCTGCAATTTCAGTTCCCCACAGTCAGTGGTGTTCCAAAAATATTAAATGAAAAATTGCAGAAGTAAATAATTCAGAAGATTTAAATAGCATACCGTTCTGAGTAGTGTGAGGAAATCTCCCATCACCCCACTCCATCCCGGCTGGGATGTGAATCATCCCTCCATCGGGCACGTCCTCGACGTATACATTCCCCACCCACGAGGCAATTGATAACCGTCTGGGTTATCCGATCGACTCCTGTGCTATCACTGTGCTCGTGTGCCAGTCTCCCTTATTTTACTTAATAAGGACCCTAAAGGACAAGAGTAGTGATGCTGGTGATTCGGATATGTCAAAAAACAGCATTAAATTGCTTCCTTTAAGTGAAAAGGTAGGTTATGTATAGGAAACGGCATAATATACACAGGATTCAGTGCTATCTGCAGATTCGGGCATCCGCTAAGGATCTGGAAACATATCTCCCTCAGATTGGGGGGTGACTCTGCTGGCTTACGTACTCCCAGGGCAGGCTTACTGTTCTGAGGAAGAGTAGCGATAGGGAGGAAAAGAGGGGACCCAAGGCAGGGGCTAGCTTGTGGATCAAAGCATCTGAAAGGCTCTCCATGCACTCAGGATCCCCCGAGATTTTGAAGAGGTAGCAGTGACTTGCCCTTGTCCGATTGACAGTCTCTGGGTACTAAAAAAAAAACCACACCAAACACCAAAAATATTTAATTTGGTCATCAGTATGTTGTTTGTTTTTTTCTTTGCCCTCTTGATCAAAATAAATGAACAATTCTAAACACACATAATAAGACAAAAATTAAATGCTCTGAGATTTTCCGGTGCGAGTTTCATGATCTGAGTATTTTAGCAAAAATCTGTAGCTGAGCAAATGAAAGGGGCCCTTGTGCCCTATTGTGCTTAATGAGGCCAAATGGAGGCCAAGAAGCTGGTTTATAATTTGCGACTTACTTTGCGTGGTGGCCATGCTGGCTTCCAGGCTTTCTGTAAAGACAAAGTAGATCAGACGGCGGCAAGGAGGTTGCCAGCAGCTGGTCTTGTGAAGGAAGGAGGGAGTAAAAACATGTTTCTCACTGCCTCCTTCCACCCCCACCCCCCGGAAATTTGTGTAAAAGTCGTCCGAAGGAAGCTGCCCTGAGATCCCAGCTGCGCATTTGGGACTGAGGGTGGCAAGAGCATGTTCTGGGCCAGAAAACCCCAAGTGGAAGCTCCCATCTCTGTCGTGACTGTGTGGTCCTGCTCTCCAGGCGGGGTCGGCCTTGGGTGCTCGCCTCCCGGCACATCTGGGATTGCAGGGAAATTCCAGAGCCCCCCAGGCACCTTCTAGGATGAGTTTCTGGGTTTAGAAGAAGGAAGGGAGAGTGTGTGTTCATCTCCATTTAGCCCTCACAGCTGATAAGTCACCAGTTTGCCTGACTTCAAGCTTAAACATCCAAATAACTAGCAGCAAGCCTACCTGTCTGACCCCATCTCCCCCCATTCCCATCCAAGCAGGCATCTCTGAGGACCCTGCCATGGACATCCCCAGGCTCCTCTAGGTGTTTTGACTGTCAGAGGACATCTGTCTCTGGGCTCCTGGTTAGGGCAGCAGGACAGTTCCCCAAGAAGACCACAGACTCCCCACAGTGAGAACCAGTTCACCACCCTCCCTGCTTCAGAACCTAGGTGCCTGATTCTAAGGTATCCCTAGAGAGGGAGTAAGAGGCCCCCCAGCTCCTCTGAAGCCCTGGGCCTTAGACCCCCGGCCCCTCTGCCCCAGAGGGTCCTCAAGGCTGGACACAGAGCAGTGAAAGGAGCTGCCCACCACGTGGTTTCTGAGCAGCAGAAGTTACCTTTGTTCAAAGAAACGCTTCCGTCCATGGGCAAAGGTTAGACTCCACCGGCATGCAAGGGCAAGAGGTAGCTGTCCAGGGCTCCCGGCCTTTTAATGCGCCAGAGAGGGCGGTCGTTTCCTGGTCTGGGTGTGCCCACGTTGTAAAGAAAGCTGGTCTGGCACAGAGGTCCCCTGAGATGTCCACGGGTGACTGGGAAGCAACACAGGTGTGGCCGTTCTGGGGTCCAAACCAAAGCAGGTCAAACAACAGGAAATCACAGTGAGGAAATTCAGAGGAGCATGGGTGATTTGTTAGGAGGAGATCTTCCAATTGGGACCGCCTTGGGGACAGAGGTGTGACTCTTGATTCACTGATTGCCCAGCCACACCTCGTTCACACATTTCACCACCCCTTTCAGGAGTTTTACAAAACCAATGTTGAGAGTTAATTCTATGTCTGATAAAGTTGTAAGAGGTATGCCTGATTAATCTTTCCATCCTCACAACAACCCTCTAGGGGCCATTAATCTTTATTTGTTATGCATAAAAGCAAAGGCCCTGAGAAATGACAAAACTTGCTCCAAATCACAAAGCCAAGTTAGAAGCCAGGTCGCTCTGTTCTTATCCCCTGTGTGATGTTTGCAGCAGCTGAGACACAGGCTTGTGTCCCATGGTGGGTACGGAAACCTGCACTGTGTCCAACAGAGGGGACTCATGGCTTCAGAGGGACCTGGGGGCCTGTGGCTTCCCAGCTCTGAACTGGGGATCTGACTCAGTCTCAGCAATGGCATGGAAGGGAGTTATTACCCATGAAGCCCGATATTGTCAGTCAGCCTCAAGTGTTAAAAAATCCTACTCATGCCCGGCCGGTGTGGCTCAGTGGTTCAGCATCGACCTAGGATCCAGGAGATCGCAGTTCAATTCCCGGTCAGGGCACATGCCCCGGTTGCAGGCTCGATCAATGACTCTCTCATCATTGATGTTTCTATCTCTCCCTCTCCCTTCCTCTCTCTGAAATCAATAAAGATATGTTAAAAAAAAAATCCTAGTCATTCTATGCCAAAAGTCGCCTCCATGTAAACTCACAGCCACTGGCTTCGGCTCTGTTCTCTGAAACCCACCGTGAACTGTCTCCCCCAGAGTACCGCAGTCGTCCCTAACTGGTCTCCCTGCCTCTGTTCTCACCCCCAGAGTGAAATGTCCACCGGGCCATGAACAGGGTCAAGGGTGTTGTGTGGTCATATCACTCCCCCGTCAGAACTCTGCAATGGCTTCGTCACACCCAGAATAACAGCGAAGCCCTCACCAGGGCCCCCAAGCCACACGCCCCTGTGCCTGCCCCTTCCATTCCCCTGCTCCGGCTGTGCCAGGTCCTGCTGATCGTTTCACCCAGAGAGCTCGGCCTCCCGGAGCCTTTCTTGTTTCTCTGCAGGACAGGGCTTCCCCAGACCATCACGGGGTTCAATTCACTGCCATGCATTTGCAAAGAGCCTGCCTCTAAGCGAGATCTCTCCTGACCACCCTCTCCATAAGGGCCCTTCACTCATGCTCTGATCCCCAATTCTTTTCTATTGTTTTCTTCACAAAATGTGTATCTCCATAGCAATGGACATGTATGTATGTGTGTAGGCCCATATGATCTTTTTTTTTTTGCAATAAATCTTTTTTTCTTGAATTTATTGGGGTGACATTGGTTAATAAGACCATACAAGTTTCAAGTGGACAACTCAATAAAATATCATTTGCACACCGCATCGTGCACCCATCACCCAAAGTCAAGTTTCTTTCCATCCCCATCTCCCCCACACACACTCTTTGCCCACTTCCATCTTTCCCCATCCCTCTTTCCCTCTGACCATCACCATATTGTTGTCTGTGTCTGTGTGCCATATATATATATTTTTTCTTAATCCCCTTACCTTTTTCACTCAGCCCCCGACAGCTCGCCCCCCCCCCCGACAGCTGTCAGTCTCTTCTATGTATCTATGCTTCTGTTTCTATTTTGTTTTTTAAATCATTTTGTTGATTAGATTCCACATATAAGTGAGATCATACGGTATTTGTCTTTCTCTGACTGGTTTATTTCGCTTAGCATAATAATCTCCAGGCCCATCCATGCTGTCGCAAAAGGTAAGAGTTCCTTCTTCTTTACAGCCGTGGAGTATTTCATGGTGTAAATGTCCCACAGCTTTTATATCCGCTCATCTACTGATGGGCACTTGGGCTGCTTCCATAGCTTGGCTGCTGTAAATAATGCTGCAGTGAACATAGGGGTGCATGGATTCTTTTAAATTAGTGTTTAGAGTTTCTTTGGATATATTTCCAGAAATGAGACCACTGGGTCAAAAGGTAGTTTCATGTTTTAAAAAAATTTTTTAATTGATTTTTAGAGAGAGGGAGAGAGAGACATCGATGCGAAAGAGAAACATCAATCAGTTGCCTCTCACACACACCCTAACCAAGATCAAACCCAAAACTGCCACTTTTCTGGGACAACACTCCAACCAACAGAGCCACACTAGCTAGGGCCCATTTTTAATTTTTTGAGGAAACTCCATACTGTTTTCTACAGTGGCCGCACCAGTCTGCATTCCCACCAGCGCATGAGGGTTCCCTTTTCTCCACATCTTCACTAGCACTAGCTGTTTGTTGATTTATTGATGACACCCATTCTGCCAGGCATGAGGTGATATAAGCTTTTTCACAGCAAAAGAAACCATCAACAAAATGAAAAGTCACCCACTGAATGGGAGAATATATTCACCAACCTGATAAGGGATTAATTTCCAAAATATATAAAGAACTTACAAAACTCAACAACAAGAAGACAAACAACCCAATTTAAAAAAGGAGCGGAGGACCTGAATAAACAGTTCTCTAAAGAAGACATACCGCCCAGGTTGTGGGCTTGATCAATGACTCTCTCATCATTGATGTTTCTCTCTCTCTCTCTCTCCCTCTCTTTTCCTCTCTGAGATCAATAAAAATATATTTTTTAAAAAAATTTAAAAAAAAAAGAATACATACCTATGGCCAAGAGACACATGAAAAGATGCTCAAGGTCCCTACTCATCAGATGCAAATTAAAATGCACATCTGATCTTTTTTTTTTTTTTTAAATATACCTTTATTGACTTCAGGGAGAGGAAAGAAGAGGGAGAGAGAGATAGAAACATCAATGATGAGAGAGTCATTGATCGGCTGCAGCCCACAACTTGGGCATGTGCCCTGACCAGGAATCGAACCCTGATGGCCTGGATCCTAGGTCGATGCTCAACCGCTGAGCCACGCCCAGCCGGGCGTGCACATCTGATCTTGTCACCTACATCCCAGCTCCATTTGGGTCAGGGCACTTGTCTGTCCTGTTAACTATGTCCTTGGTGTCAGGAACTGTGTCTGGTTCACTATTGGAGTTCTTAATATTTGTTGAACACACAAAGGAATGAAAGAAGTGTCCTCATGAATAGAAGGAGGACTGGGAGGAGGAGAGCGCTTGTGCTGTCTGTAGGAAAGGCATAAGTTTGATAAGGGACCAGGGGATGCTCTTCCATCCCATACTAGGGCTGAAGTGCCCTGGGAGAACCTCTCAAACAAATGGGGGAGACTAGGAGCTTTGCTTCCAACTGGGGAGACCCCTGGGCTCACCTGGGCTCACCTGGGCTCCTCGGCCGAGGCTGGGTGTGGGGAGGGAGTTTGGGGAGAGCCTGACATGGGTTCTAGCCTTGGACTATGGAGGCCATATACCCCAGTTGGCCCAAGAGCGCCCAAGTCTGTGCCCATCGCTCCTAGGTATCTACAACTCTAGGGAAATACCAACAATGGGAAGGCAGAAGAGACGCATGAACTTCTTGTAGGAACCGTGAGAAATGAGAAACTCAGGGAATGTCGTGCGTGTCCCCAGGGAGAAATATAGTCTCTGACACCAACGTGGTCACTCAGAGGCTGAAGGCAGATCTCAGCAGGGAGGGAGGCTGGGACAATGCCTGTGGGCCCTGGGAGTCAACGCTGTGTTTGGAAATATAGCATCCCAACATCTTTCTTCACATCTTGGGGACAAGTAAAAATGTGATGGAAAGATGACGTGGGCTAAATGCCTGAGGGACCACATTGCAGAGAGCAAAGCTCACTGATACGTGGGAAGAAATCGTGTTTCA